GGCCTGAAGATCTGAGGCGCCCTCAAGGCTTTGATCAACGCTGTCTGCAAAACATTGCTGGTGTCAGGTGGCACCAGCGTGTCCGCAATAATGATGTGTGTGGGTGAGTGCTAGGCAATGATACCCAAGCTAATTCTTTCGAATAACAGGTAGCACAGAATAAGTTGCTTTGGCTTGGACACGTACTACGTAGGCCTGGTCACCGCTTACCGAGAAGGGCTTTGTTTTGTCGACCAGATGTGGGGTGCCGCAAGGCACGAGGTGGAGAAAAGTTGACTTGGCAGCGTGAAGTGAAGTCACTGACGACCAAACTCCGTGCCGTCGCGTCTTCCAGACTGGAGTCCACGTGACCCGCCTTGTGCTTGGTTAGTGACTTTATAGAACATGGCTCGCAGTCGGCATCAGTGGCGCATCTGTTGCCGTCTCCTAGTCGAACTGCCAATTTGTAGTGGGTTTTGTGTTGTTATCTGTGGGATAATGGGTGATTAGGGCGCAGGACAGTGAAAGCCGCAAGGAAGCTATCTTACCGATGCCGCAATATCTCTGCACAAAGGATTGAACTCCAATATTAAAAACGCGGCAACCCCGGAGTTTTTAGCGGAATTCGAAAACGCTCTACGGTCAAATGGACTTGGAGAAGAGATTCAGGAGCAAATCCGACACACAATTGTCCCTGCCATAACACACGTCAAGCAATACAATGCCCTATCTCGACAAGAGCAAGAAACGATGAAAGCCCTGAGGTCCGACGAGTCAATTGTTATCCTTCCTGCAGACAAAGGAAGTATGACAGTCATAATGGATAAGGCAGATTATATTGAGAAGGCGAAATGACTTCTAAACGATATAAGCAGATACAGGCGCATTAATTACGATCTGACACCGCAGATAACAAACTAAATAAACAGAAGATTGCATGAACTACAACAGTTGAAAGAAATTTAAGAAATTGAAAAGAATAAAATGAGAGCCCGTGACTCGAACATCGCCCAATTCTACGGGCTTCCAAAAGTACACAAAGAGGGTACTCCGTTGCGGCCAATTGTTTCATTTCCAGGTACACCCACCTACAACCTGGCGAAGGAATTGTGCAGGCGCCTCAAACATCCGCTCAAAGTTTCGCAGCACTTCGTAAACAACGCCAAGCAATTTCTAAAGAAACTCAAGGACCTGCATATAGATTATGAAGAAACAATGGTCTCCTTCGACGTCACCGCTTTATTCATATCTGTCAATTTGCAACTGGCAAAAGAAGCCATCATAGAACGCCTGAACAACAGAGATCCGAAAATTAGCAGTATGACGACTGCAAGCATTTGCAAGCTTCTCCAACTATGCCTCACAGCTTACTTCTCGTTCAACTGAGAGATCTATGAGCAAGTGAAGGGGGCACCGACGGGATCACCGGTATCAGGTCTGATCGCGGAGATCGTCATGCAAAAGTTGGAAGATCTACAACCAGCTATTAACCCGAAGTTGTGGGTATGCTATTGCGAGGATACATTTATAATAGTGAAACGCAGCGAAGTAGCAATCGCACACCAACTACTCAACAATGCAATGGATGGGATTCAGTTTACAATGGAGTTAGAGGCAGCAAACATGCTCCCATTCTTGGATGTGTTAGTGACCAGAACAAAGGATGGTGAATTTCAAACATCAGTTCACAGGAAAGGCACGCATACGGACCAAAATTTGAACTTCTACAGCAACCACCCAGTGTCACAAAATAAGTTGCGTGAGGACACTATTTCGCAGGGTTGAAACACACTGCAGTACAGCGGAAGCCAAACGGGAAGAAGAGAAACACCTATTCGATTTGTTCGAGCGCAATGGATACCCACGCAGCTTCATCCGCAGATGTCTAAACCACAAACCTATGAACACCCAGCTGATACTAAATGCAAGCAAGAGGGTCGTTTTGCCGTATATGAAGAACATATCTGAAATGACTGCTAGATTGCTCAAACAACACAGCATCGTGGTCGCTCACAAGCCAACCGCTACTTTGAGAAGAATACTGTCAAACCCAAAGGACATTCGGAATGCACAAGAACGAACAAACGTCGTGTATAAAATAAATTGTAATAATTGTGAAATGAACTATGTGGGACAGACAGGAAGGTAATTATCCACAAGAATACAAGAACATCAGAGGGCTTGTAAAAAGCATTATGCATCGTCTCTCGTCTCGGCGCATGTGGATGGGGAGGGACATAGTTTTAATTGGAACAAAACGGTGATTTTAGGTCAAACAACAACACAGAAAGGGAATTCCTAGAAGCATGGTACTCCTCTAGTACTTCGACATCGAGCCCGTGTACCATCAGCTCAGAAAGAAAGATTTCATGCGAATCGAAAGACATGGTTCAGCCGCGGAAGCAAATGGACAGAGATCACGTGGCGCAAATCGAAATTGCCACCTTCAAAAGTCATCTGCCCGTGAATGACGGACTGACGATTCAATAAGCAGGATTATACACCGTCTATCACCACACTGAAGATACCACCTCGCATGGTGGTGAAACGTAAGCAATCCCTTTATCAAGCTCGGGAAAACGATCAAAAGGTGAACAATAGCCTGTTGTTTGTGATGCTATGTTGTCGACTAAAGGTGCAGGCGTCTTGACCCTGAATGTTTGCTTATGACTTTAAGGTTTTCCGCTAAGTCCCCTCTTCTCATAATTCGTCGTTCAGTAGGTCGTTATGGTTTTATGACAGCGAAGCATCAGTTCAAATGGCCGCTGTATTGTTTTTGTTGTTGTTATTGATGGTGATGGTGATGATGATAGTGCTTAGACGTCAGCTAGGCACATCTTCCATTCAGCACGGTCCTGCGTCTGTTGATTGTGACAACGGTGTCCAACGCCTGCAAGGTATTCGTTTGCATTCCACCTTCACATGTTCACCTCAAGCTGCTATGTGCATTCAACAGGGAGGAAAGCAGGATCCAAGCCGTATAAATACAACATGAACAATCTGCATGTAGAAGCTGTACGGTAACAGAGCATTAGCGGTTGAAGATAAAGTTAGCATCGTCATTGCACGTTAGCTAAAAGTAAGAAACACAACTATTGTGTTGCAATACAAAAAGATATATGAAGACGAGATAAAAAACGGTATAGAGTAGAAAAAACAGGTAATATAATGCCTAATAAAATATTATGCAGCAGAAGCGATGTCGTGGCTTGAGGGGGCAGATAAGTAGGATGGAGAGGGATAAAGAAACTCCCAACAACCAGCATTGAAGTCAGCTATTTGTCCTGGTTACTAGTGTACTCAAGTAAACGTGTTCATCGTTCTTAGGACCCCACTCCGGCAGTCAAGAGACAAGAACCGAGGGCAACTTCAAAGTGTATGCCTTCAAAACTCTTGATCAAGTCATTGCTTGGCCTCCCATCCTCTTCTTCCATCTACACCCCAGGTCGCGCAAAAAATGCATGTAGCGGGAGTCAAGGTGCGGTCATGCGCGACACGTGGCCTAGCCATCGGAAGCCGGTGCGTGATTGAGGGGTGCTAAGTGGTTCACTCGCTCTTTCGGCACCAAATACGCGACACTGAACACACGCATTGCTCACGCATAGTTCCCACGAGAGTTGAGCTGAACTGTGAAGACATCGATGATTGGACGCAACTAGCTTCTTTATGTCTGCCCATCTGACGGACCAGATCTCACAATCGTGCAATGGGATTGAATGCACGGCTGCTTTATAAAGTCTACCATCAAAGAGGGAGTGTGTGTGTGATGTCCAGTGAGCTGCACAGGTAGCAGAGCTTGTCGAATGTTTTGAGAGTCTACCATACGGTTCTTGACTTCATCATCTATTCCATAGACGCTAATTTAGCTGTCAAGGTACTTCAATTTCTGAATGACTTTTAGATCATCACCAAGAGTCAGTGTGGAAGTTGGTCCCTGCTCAACTTGGGGATGAACTATGTAGTTCGATGGCGCAAAGCAAGCAAAGCACAAGGTAAAACTTCAATATGCAAGGTGAAATTCAATTTGATTCTACGTTCAGATTTCTATGCCCGTAGTTACTAGTGCACCCTGTAGAAATTAGCTCGCACAGAGCGGGTCATTCGTTAGATTGATCGGTTGTGCTCATTGAGTTGCAGAGAGCAGGAAAATCCATGTTAGCTCCATTGATTCCGAATCATTTGGTGTTTGATGCGTGTTGCTGTGTCACGTTCCTAGTGGGTTCGTCGCAGTTGCAGTGGTGGCCGCAAGATCCCAGCATTCGCAGTAAATGGTTGTCAAACAAGCGCTTGAAAATTTCTTCGGATGGCGCATTGACAATTTTCTGCGGTAGACCATTCTAGTCATTCAGCACTCCAGTGGAAAGGATGACATCTATGCGAATTTGGCGTCTTCTTTGTTTAAGCAGTTTCCATGTGTGACTTCGTGTGGAACAGTCGGCGTTGGGCCGGAAGAATTGCCGTAGTTAACTTCCGGGTTCCCCTCGGAGGATGCGTCAAATGTGTATGAGGTCAACTCTGCGACGGTGGAACCCCAAGGAGAGATAGAGCTGCTGGAGTTGCACGGGGTATGGGATATCACAAAGCCTGAGAACGAATTCCGAAGCACGCATCTGAACCTTGTGACCTTACATGGTCTCAAAGACGTTTGAGCAAACCATCGACAAAACAATAAGGCAGGGATGTGGAAAACAACCACTCCAGTCTTATACAACCAAAAAGTGGCCACTGGTGTTTGCCCCGGCAACGCGTTAAAGTCACATCGTTATCTTTGCACATGATAGGGAAGCACACGGATAAGCCGCAATCCGACTTCGCATTCGTAAAGAGATCACATAATATTTTCCAGTTAAGTCCAGGACATATGATGTAAGATGCATCGCACAAGAGCAGACAAATCAACCGAAAAGAAAGGAAGTTAAATTTTTGAAACGCGTGACTGTCATTTATGGGAATTGACAGAGAAGCGCTACTTTATTTGTGGGAGAAAAAACCATAAATGTCATTAATAAAAAGTAACTAACCTCGTCGGATACTGATTTGGGATTTCATAGACTCTGTGAAGTCATAGAGAACCACCATAATCTCGCTCTCAGAAGAGCAAAGTACGTGGTTCACGGAGATCTGTCCCTGTTTCTCAGAGCCAGACGTGTAATCTATTGTCGTTGTTTAAGTTAAAGTTAGGAACGTACCCTGCTCCACACCCATGCTGAGTTGTCTGGATCCATCAGTTGAGGTTCCGTGAGATGCAGTTCTAGAGGAATGGATGGAACCCATTTTCGAAGCTGCGAGCTTTCCACTGCTTCCACCCATAGCGTAGAATAAACTGAACTATACATCCAGTTCCAACCGCTCAACACCGATGAACCATTGCAATGATTAACAAACAGAGTAGTATGCGTCCGATCAAGGATTCCGACAGTCCCCGTGTCTAGTGTGTATGTAGGTGTTAAGAGACCTGGGGAGCTGCAATGTAAAGCAATGTAAAGGTGGCTGAATGGTCATATCACAACTACCTAGGAAAAGACTACAGCAAACGAAACGTAAAGGGAAAAAGAAGAGGAAGCACTGTGGAGATCTTAGCTACACGTAACGGACCTTAAGAGAACTTGGGAGTGAGGTAGAAAAATAATTCCGGCTCAACGTGGACTGCTCGACACGAGGCCACAAGTAGAAGTTGTATAAGAGCCAAATACTCCACATCCGTCCAGAGGGCTCTGTCAATTCATCGGTTCACTAGGTTGTAGAGAGGAGAGAGAAGGACCCTTGTCAGCTCCGTCGATTCCTATCCCTTGTGAGATAGCTGCGAGTCGTGGTGTGGCGACGTTCCTCGAGAGCATGTCGCAGTTGCAGCGGGAGCGGCAAAATCCCAGCGTCTTCATTGTGTTTGTCTAAAAGCCCCTTGAAACATTTCTCCGAAGGTGCGTCAACAATTTTCTCTGGTAAACTGTTCCACTGATTCACCACCCGGGTGGACAAGGTGAGGTCTGAGCGAGCGTGGAACCGTCGTCGCTTGAACAGTTTCCATTTGTGACCTCGTGTCGAGCAGTCGGTGTTGGTTTGGAAGAACTGCAGTAGCTCGTTTCCAAGTTCACCAAGAAGGATGCGTATGGTTTGATGACATCGCCGCGGCGACGGCGAAATTCTATGGAAATTACGTTCAGCTACTGAAGTCGGAGAGGATAAGGAAGATCGCGGAGCCCGAAGACAGCTTTCAAGGCATGCCTTTGGACGTTCTCTAGGAAAGAGCATTCAAACTTAAGGAGCGGAAAAATAGCTGGCTGCCCATATTCTAGTATGGAATGTACGGCTGTGGTTAATAGAGGACGGAAGATCTCAGGAGTCATTGTAGAGAGCAACCTACTCAAGGTACCCAGAAGCCTCTTTGCGGCTGCGGCTTTCAGCGTGTCCTGGGACGTAAAAGGTCAGAGGATACAATGACCCCGACATTCTTCTCTTGAGAAGAAATTCACAAAAGTGGTATGTTCCGTATTGGTCAAAGCCACTGATTGGGAGAACCGCGCATTTATCTCGAATTAATGGTAATCGCCATTTGGCAATTTGTCGGCATCATCTAGGCTTGAGATCATCAGCGTAGATCAAGCAGTCGGTTGCGAGTGCAACCGGGAGGTAATTTATGTACAGTTTGAAAAGTTCTGATCCAAGTACGGACCCTTGTGGAACCCCATTTGTCATTGGCATAGGGGTGGATGTGCTTTGTTTGACCCTTACGCGTAGGCAGCGGTCTCGTGGGAAGTCGATGATCCAGGAGAGGACTTTGCCCGTCACACCAATCTCCTGGAGTCTGAGCAGCAGTCGTTGGTGATGAACTTTGTGAAAGGTTTTGCTGAAGTTGATGGAGACCACACCTACATGTTTTTGGGCATCTATGGTTTGTGCCCAAGTTTCTCTGGAAACTGGCAAGTTGGAGACGCAGGAACATGCTTTCCGGAAACCATGTTGGGATGGAGAAATTACGTCGGAATTCTCACAGTGTAGCTGGAGCGCGCGGTTGAGGATTCGTTCCATGGTCTTGCAGATGACGAATGTCAGGCAGATTGGGCGACAGTTAGCCGGATCTTGGTGTTCTCCACCCTTGTACTTGGGCATCACTGTGCCTTCTTTCCAGTCAGAGGGTAAACGGATGACTTCGAAGAGTGGCGGAATATTTGGCAGAGGGGAGCAACAATGTATTCGGCTACAATCTGAAGGAATACGGGATGCAGCTCACCGGGGCCTGGAGAGTTCAGATCCAGTTCGAGGAGCCTCCACACTACCTCAGGGTTAAGTTCCATTGGGTCGAGAGAGGGATTGCGTGCAGTGGGGGCTCCATTGAGTAGACTGAAGAGTACAGTGAAGCTAATATGTTGGCATTTTAGTCATCGTGAATGACTGAAATATTCTACTAGAGATCACTGCTGACGAACCGACAGAAGGAAAATTCAAACGGCTGCTTGACTGCCATATGATAAGTACGGCAAGGTACTGCTGCTCCGATTGCAATGGCAACGATCCCCACAGGAATGACGCTACGAAGCAAGTCACGTCAAACCTGCACTGAATAAAAGTCGACGGAGCTGACAAGGGTAACCTCTTATGCTCTCTATACACTAATGAACCAAGCAATGGTCGACTAACTGAGATAAGACGATCTGCTTACTCTTTGGCATCAGGTTAGTTCATATTCCGAAGAGGAAAATAAGCTCCAGCCTAACGAGGGTCTTGTTTCTCGTAGCGAAAAAAATAAGCCCCAGCACTATCACTTCCAAGTTGTCTTCCTTGCCTCTGCAAAAGAAATAAAGTAAGACAAGAGCAACCTCTGTACATTCTCGGATCAAGGACATCAAGCACAACCGCCAAGAAATTTACAGAAATCTCGGAAAAAGATCCGGCCAACGCTTATACATGCCATTTCCAAAGCCCGCTACAGTGGCACCTATAATTAAGCACAACTAGATGACGAAGTTCGGCAGATGCATGCATTTTGTATCGTCTCATCGGTGCTGATAACGATAACCGGTAATTTTATACAACCGTTTGTGGGTACAGACATACATACAATCAAACGAGAAAAAAGCGGGTGTCTTTCTTCTACAACGAGGGCAGCCTGAGGCTGACCGATAATCGTTTTTGCACACAAAGCACTTGCTTAATCCGATTAATGGCAATAGCCTCGGCAAACCGGAGCCGGGAATTGGTATGGCGAAGCAAGATCCTAAACGCCTTGTTGACCTCAATTCGGTGATCCGATGTCAATAAGTGTCTGCCGATCGAAGATGCCGGCGACCTGCGCACACACATAGTCTGACTTGGATTTGCTTGCTGAATAATCCCGCACTGAACCCATTTTGGTACATGCTCCTTTATTCGGGAACTCAGTGTTCTGCCGGTTCTGTCTACGTAACTATCTCCACAATTACATGCGAATTGATATACGCAGTGGGAGTTGGCTCCAATAGGCTGAGTTTCCTTCAGTGGAGGCAACGGTAGCTTATGAGTTCGGTCGATGATTACAACTTCGGCAGCACAGAAGGTGCTCTGTGTGACGGAAGTCAGACGTCTCCTAGTCCTCAAAGAAGCAATGTCACCCTTAAAGCGCAGCTCTAAGAATACCTTTTTCTTAGGTACAGTAGGTACAGCAACTTTCATTTCACGGATTTGGCTGTGCTTCTGGATAAATTTTCGAGGGTAACCATTAGCAATTAGCGTGCTGGCAATTAGTTCTAGTTCATCGGATGGACAATCGGTCGAACATATTTGTCTCGCACGACTAAATAGGGTCTTCACAAGCGTTCGCTTATGCCGCATTGGCTTAAAGCTGGTAAAATGCAGCTACTGTCCCGACTACGTTGTTTTTCGGTAGACACCTATTTACCAGTCCGTTCTCCTTGCGGCTGATGAGCACATCTAAATATGGAAAACAGTTCTGTTGTTTGACTTCACAGGGAACCTTTAAATTGACATGCGAGGAGTTAAAACGCGTCACTAGCTGTGCGATCTGCATTGCTGTTGAACAGAACACCGAGATACTGTCCACATAAGGTTTGGAATAGGGTAACTGCGCTATTTCTTCGGATAGGCTTCGCTCTATCATCAACAGTATGTGACCCAGTGGGCTGCCCATGGCTACCCCATCAATTTGGCGATACGGTATCTTTCGGAAGTGGAAATCGACATTCTTTGTGCGTAGAAGTAATGATTCTCTTAAGAATTCAACCAGAATCGGCAACGAACATCCGGAACGTTCCGCTAATTCGCAGCTGTAGTCAACGGTCTGGTGTAGCGGCACGTTAGTAAACAAGAATTCCACATCTAAAGAACACATCACCTTATCGGACAAGTTCATTTTATCGAGATCGACAACTGCTAAGGAATCTTTGAGGCCATAGAGATTAAATTGAGGTTTTAGCGGAGAAAGCATATAACCCACCCATCGAGCTAATTTATTTTAATATGCGTTCATCATCGAGAGGGTCGGTCTGAGCGGCACTCCGCTCTTATGCGTTGTTTGTAGCCCATATAGCTGTGGCGTAGTTAAACTGTTACAAGTAGCGCTGTCGAGCACATGATACTGGTGAAGCATTTCTAAGTGACGAGTAACGCGGGATTTGAAAGCAGTCACTACCCCCGCCTTCTCCAGTCGTTTTAATTTGTTAGCGTCACTGAGTATGACGCTCAGCTTCTCAAAGTATTCATCTTTGTTCATAACTACAATTTCTGAACCTTTATCCGGCTTCTTATCGCGCCATTCGCGCAATGCTCGTAGGTGCCTGTTCGTAAGCGCGCACTTTTCTTTTACTGGTACATTTTTTACCTTATAGGCAACATCGGACATTGTTTCTAAACTATAGATGAGCTCCCCGGTACTAGTTGGTTGAAGGTCCTTCAATTGATAAAAATGTTCTCAAACTGAGTCTCAATGAACAATCCTATCAATCGTCTAAAACGCACTCTGTAACCTAGCCCGAAAGACAATGATTCTAACTGTAGTGCATCAAGGTTCACATCTGACAGATTCAGCACACGCTCACTGGGTTCAGGAGTACATGGTTCCTCATCTCAGTTGTTCATCAATGATTTTTCGAGCCGTACTAGTTTGTTCATTTTGGTACGAGCGATTTTGGCTTTACAAGATTGAGTGTATATAATCCGACAGCAGACTGACAAGTTTCCGACTACGGGCAACAGGCGTGCGTGGGTTTCCGGTAGGCAATCAAGTCTGGCTCGCGCGGTCTTCAGCTGAGCAGATGCGACGCGTCTGAGATTAGGAGCAGAAGACTTAAGATGGTTTCTACGTAACAGTATCCAAATCGCCCGAGGACAACGACGTATGCGAATACAATCCGACGAAAAAAGTTCTACACGTATGCGAGCAATCCTGCACCACAGAATGACGATACGGTGAAGCAGTTTAATGCAATCAAGGGAAATTCATCATTCGAGAAGTTTAAAACAGTTAAATTCCTCTAGC